TGACAAATCTCTTTTGTGAGTTTGTGAGGTTCTGAAAAGAACCTCACAGTACATGTACATATTTTGTGCCACACAGCAGTATACGGAGGAAGTCCAGTATTTGAGCCACATGAATGGGGCCTAGCTAGTACCATGAATAAGTAGTTTCACGGTAATATGCAATGCCCCATCTTTTGTGTGAAAAAGCTTCTTAATATTGCGCTGTGTGTGTATTGTGACATGCATGCATGGACATGTACATGTGTACGTATGCACAATTCATAATCTTTCTTTTAGTACAAGAATCATTCAAATTACTCCTGTACTTTTGAAGTTAAGGAATTTTAAACACAAACACCGTTTTTAAAGATCCGTCCATGGATCACAAAAAAGGTAAGTGTTCTTTCAGCAAAACGAAAACAATTTACATGCATCCCCATGAGAATTGTGTTCGTTTTGCTGAAAGAACGCATACCTTTTTGTGATCTGTGGACAGAACTTTAAAGCGGTGGTTGTGTTTAAAATTCCTTAACTTGAAAAGTGTAATGTGAATGATTCTTGTACTAAAAGAAAGCTTATGAATTGGGCTTTCATATCCTAGATTTTGAAAGTGCTACATGCAGAACTTCACTAAAACAATAGTCTCGAAACATGGGTTTCGTTTTTTTACTCACCCATATCAAGAAGTAGTAAAATTTTTTTGGCTTTGTACCTCCTTTGGGCAAAACGCGAAGCAGGTCTTGGAATACATCTGCACGTACGGTGGTAGGTATTTCCACATTCCTGCGGTTCTCCAGGCCCGCTAGTCACATCCTATCTTGTTCGTCTTCGTAACAAAGGATTGTGGGAAACCCATCATCCGTAACATTGAACGTAATTTTGCACGCACCAGCGTGCCTACGAACAAAATCTGTCCAATGAGAGCCCAAAGAGAATTTGTAGTGATGAGCGGGCACAGCATTGCATGGAATTTGACACTTACGGGGATTTTGTTGCGTTTGTACTGTGTACTTAATAATTTCAGTTTTCATTGTGTACGTGTATTAAGTGTCTTCACATCGATCAAGATCATTATGTTGAATCCAAAACACGTTGATTACGTCCACTTAACCTTATATTCATATAGTCCAATAGACCTCATTAAATCGTTTGATTTGATGCCACATTTTTGGGAATCCGTTCATGAAAGCGAGCGTTATGTGTGAACATGAGTGAATGCAGCATGCAAGAGCAGAAAGGATCATGCTGCTCTGTGTCAGCGACTCAGCGACGCCCGATGTCATGCGGTGTTTGCTTATTTGTCAGTTGAACATGGACAGTGTGCCACAGCTAAATAAAGAAAATAATAAGATTACGTGCTGCATTTTTGTCCATAAAAATACTTGACTTCAAAAAAGGGAAACATCTCCTCTTCTGGTCATCCCATTTCAAAAATTGAAAAAAATTTCAATATCTTCAAGCCAGCTTGACATCTTGAAAATAAACCCAGGTTCAATAAGAGCCAGAAAAAAAATCACTGAAAGTGCCTAGAATCACACATTTTAACAGACTAGTGTTTTGGTTGTGTAATTTGACCACGGTGATATGGGCAAGGTAAGCGTACTTTTCCATCTTGAAATAAAAAAAGCAAACAAAAAACGACTGTCACCTGACCCTCTCCTATGAAATCCAATGAAATCTGAAACTGATCATGAAGTAGCCATCTTAACGTTGTAAAGCCTTTGTTGTAGGTTAACAGCAGTAGTAGTAGTGGGAGAAATACAAGATTTCAAAACCCAGTTATCCTAACTTTTTTCAAATCGACTAACTTTTTTTCTGATTTCACCGGGATTGTCCATTCAGCTCACAGTCATCCCTACAAAAAGTGACGAGTGAGGTGCTGCATGCAATGCCCTCCACAATAATTAGGTGTTGTTTGCAGGATTCAGTGACCCACTATATGTACATGTAGGTCTTTACACAAACACTCCAATCCAAAGCTGTAATGATGAACACATGGGTCGGGCCTCTCTGATCAGTGTAATGGGCAGGCTATTAAAGACCCAAGACATGCAAGAAGACTACACAAGTTGGGTCAAAAAAAGAAAAAAGAAACCCAAATGGCAGGACCAATTTTTGAATGAAGTTTTGCCTGTAGCACTTTCAAAAGCCCAATTAATGAGCTTTCTTTTAGTACAAGAATCATTCAAATCACTCATGTACTTTTTCGAGTTACAGAATTTTGAACACAAACACCGTTTTTAATTAAAGTTCTGTTCACGGATCACAAAAAGGTACATGTACATGTAGGTGTTCTTTCTGCAAAACGAAAAACAATTCACATGCATCCCTGGTCCTATGTGAACTGTTTTTGTTTTGCTGAAAGGACACTTACACTGTACTTTTTTTCATGGACAGAACTTAAAAACGGTGGTTGTATTTAAAATTCTGTAACTTGAAAAGTACATGAGTGATTTGAATGATTCTTGTACTAAAGGAAAGCTTAATCACTGGGTTTTTATATATCCTAGATTTTGAAAGTGCTGCAGGCAAAACTTCACTCAAAAATTGGTCCTACCATTTGGGTTTGGTTCCTACTGACTCACCCTGTACATGTACATATTTAAGCGAGTGAATGCAGATTCAGTCAAAGACCATTGAGCAAATTGGAGGATGTTCCAGATTTACTTCAGCTTGTGTCACACACAAATGGAATGCTTTGACAATTTTTATGGTTGGTTTTGAATATCCGGTTTCCAAAATTCAATCTGAATAAAAAAAAAACCCTGGATTTAAATGCCACCACTAAGCCATACAATGTACACATGTACATGTATTCAGACTTCAGCCATTCTGTTGTTGATTTCCATAGTGCATGCATTTTGTATCTGGGTCTGCATTACATCAACCCATAGATACAATGTACATGTAGGAGCTGGGGAAGTTGGCTGTTACAACTAATTACAATTTAGACCCTTTGTTGCCAAATAGACCATCAATGGCTTTCACATTGTTCTCTTACTCTTAGAACTTTAATGATGTAGTTCCCTCAAGTTAATTAAGTTTTCTTTCGAGTAAACGTTTGAAGATTTCATCAGCATACATGTACATGTATATTCTTTTGTGTTGACTGAGGTAATAAACAGTGTTTGAAGTGAGCTTTTCACAACCAATATCATTGGTGCCAGATTGACGGTCCGTTCCTCGCAGACTTGTATTCGAGTCACCAAACATCGAGTCCGAGTCACGTCATCCAAGTCCAGAGTCATGCAGGTCAAGTCCGAGTCTGAGTCACGAGTTACAAAGGTCGAGTCCGAGTCATGAGTCACTGTTCATGTATATTGGAAATAAATTTGAGGTACCGGTAGCCTACTGCTAAAACCTCACAGTGAAAATGTTTCCATTTTTCGCAACTTTTCTCTGATAACTGGAACTACATAACATTAAAGGTATCAGTGTGTGGAAAGGATAATCTGGTACCGAACACTATCAAGGTTGCATTACACAATATCAAGTGTGGACGCTGGGGTACATGTTTCAATACATAAATTTCACAAATTAATATAATTTTCGGAAACAAGCAAGCTGCATTTGTGTACAAAAATGTATGTAGGCCTACAGTACAAATGTACTTAGATGCATTTCTCCTGCACAGCACTAACTGTATCGCTTGCTCAGGAGAGGAACTATTATTATTATTATTATTAATGGTTTATTTTATTGAACTTTCACGGCCAAAAGGCCAAATTGCAGTTTAATTTACACACATTAAAAATTGTTATATATTAAAATTACAGTGAATTACACCGTGTGAAAGATGACATTAAAAAGGTAAATCACAACAAAATACACACAACTAATAAAAAATTAAAATAATTCAAATCAAAAATTACAAACAAATGTAAATAACAATAAATACATTTACATATACATATGTATTGGTACATGATAGAATACTACAAAGCATTGGAGGGGAGGAAGAAGAGGTCTCGCTCAACTGACGGCATCATTTCCTACAGACCACCCATGTGCACCAGCAATCCGAGCGCCAACCCGCACAACACGCACCGGCCACGTCGCATATCTTGAACACATCCCGAGCAACAAGCGTTTGTAACATCTTCAACACCGCATGATGCGTGCCCGACTGCATAAAATACGCAGTCGCAGCCCCCCACAAAGATGGCCGTCATTGAGCGAGCTCTATACACTCATGTACATACCCAACCCACTAATAAGTTAAACAGAAACTGTGACCAACAAAGATTTTCTTCATCAACTCAGGAAAAAGAGGTCACATATCTTTGTTAATCAGATCAGTTAAGTAGGGAATAGAGCTGTAACAGTACCTGTTAGTCCTACAGCATATTGTGCTGAGATGGTCATTATTCCTTAACCCATTATTCCTAATCGGGGGCAGCCAGTCTTTGAATTTGTGGGAAGTAAGTAGTGATTTGCAAAATAATTTGTAATGAGTTGGTGAAAGAAAAGAAGTAATTTGTGGTAATTTGTGGTAATTTTGATTGAGTCCCGAGTCATGCAGGTCGAGTCCGAGTCGGAGTTCCCAGGGTCGAGTCCAAGTCTGAGTCATTTGTCATCGTGGCTCAAGTTTGAGTCCGAGTCACGGAAATTGGGACTCGAGTCCGAGTCTGAGTCTGAGTCACGAGTCATACAAGTCTGGTTCCTCGTTCCAAGATCTTGTAAAAATGGTTCAGGTGGAATAATAATAAATTTCACACAAACCCTTGTAATCAGTATTACATCTAGGTTAAACACGGAAATTGACTGGAGCGGAAATATTGATAATGCTGCATACCTTGGCAATGGAAACAAGGAACCATATGGCTTCATATTTATTACTCATCAAATAAACACAACTTGACCAGCCTTTGTTTTTTATTTGAGGATGTGTTTATGACATAGTATTTAGATGTAAATATGGAATTTGAAAGTTTCATTATATTGACCTTTTCAGTGTTTTGGTAATGTCCATGTATTTGGTGAAAGGAAATCTGAAAATATTTGTATTCCTCATATTTTAGGATTACATGTAGCTGACGAGTGACGAATGCGAGTACATGTTCTTGAGATACAGCAGTTTGTGCATCTCTTTCTGCTGTAATCTTCATGTCATGGATGAAGTCAGAGGTCAAAGTTGAGTTTCCATCCCTTTGCAAGAACTGAGCAGTTTGGTGGAGTATGGACAGCTGGAAACCAAACCCCAAGGCTCAACCGTTTATTCCTAGGAGGCACCACAGTTTCTGTACAAGGGGTCAGTTCTTCAGAAGACTGGGCTCCAAATTTTTTCAGGTATATGTATGCACATGTTCTGTGTAAGTGTAATTATCTAACGGGCGATCTTAGAAATTGAAGTAAGTGACACATACATAAAATGTATTATGTTGTCATGTGCAAATTGAAATCTATCGTTGAGTACTCAGTAGTGCTGATTATTGCACAGATAATTTCTTGGATCAAACCAGAAGTTAGATGTCAAATCAATGCGTACACATACATTTTGAGTAAGTCATATTTCAGATTCAACATTAGGGTTTGCCATTAACCGACATGTAAACACTGTATACTCAGTGTGTAACCTTTCAAGTGAAAGTTGGAAATTTAGAAAAAATCACTCAGGTGGGACTCAAACCCACGACCTCCTGCTTTCTAGTGATGTAGCAGTGGGTACCGCAATGAAAGTATTCATAGATGGAATTTGTCTAACTTTCACTCAGGAGGTACACATGTAGTATACAGTGTTTACACATAAGTGAAGGGCAAAACCTGATGTTGAATTTACATCAACCCGACGCAAATTCCATCTTATGAATGGTCATATTTCAGAGAAAATAATTTCATTTTATTGTATTTGGTCAATGATGAAATGCTTAAATTAAGAAATGACTCTAGACTTAATAATCTCTGTTGTTTCTTAATTGACTTATTCATACCTGAACTGAAAATTGTACCCCATCACCCTGCATTTTTTACAAAAAACAAACCCTAAAGCAAGCCAACTTAAAAGTTTCTTACATGTATGTAATTTACATGTACATGCAGCAAGTACATGTAGTTACCATAATTCATGGCCTTGCTACAGTGTACATGTATTTCAGATATGAAAAATCAGTAGTGATTAATTTGGCAGGTGTTTTGTGCATTGGATTGATTAAGTACATGTATGTCTATACATACTGGTACCGGGTAAGTTGGAATGTTGGCAATTCAAAAGCCAACCTTTAGTCAACGTGTGTGTTTCAATGACAATCATCTAAGAAAGAGATGTGAAAAACAAATCTGAAATTCTTTTTTTTTAATAATGTTGCATTTTGCATTGACATTTAGGATAACAAGAAGTACCCCGGTACATGCAGGTCATCTGTGTTTTTATTTTAAAATATAGTCAACTAACTGTCCCAGGTCGACTATTGGCATAAATATCAAGGTTGCTGCGAATTCAACTGAAATGGAGACATTGCAATGCAACAGTGGAACCAATATGTCACTGTCACATGTGTTAAGCCAGCTTTACCTCTGTATCATAACAATGTCACTATCAATTCATTACACACACATACATATAGGTACATGTACTATACTATGCAGCTAGTGTACACATGTATATTTTTATCTTAATATACACTAAATGTGAAAAGCATTGCTACATTTGGACATGACTGAATATTACAGGAATGTAAAATGTTTTTCCCCATCAACATTCCTTTTAATTTGAGAGTCCTTAAGTTTGACTTGGGTATTTCACACAGAAAAATAGGGAGAGACGGAAAGTATGAACACGATGTAATTGTACATATGTGGAAATGATGAAAGCACTTCCGTGATTGAAATCTAAGCTGTTAGAAAAACAGTTTTGATGAAGTTTCTACAAAAGTGTTTGCAGGGGAAAAAAGAAGTGGCAATGTTTCCATAGGGAAAGTCATGTGCTATTGTAATAATAATGCTACACCAGAAAGTCAACCCACGTTCATGATTTTGCATGAAATATATGTTTGCCATAGCGAGTGTAAATAACCTTGTGTTGATTTCCTCCCAACATGCAAATTTGGAATACATGTATCACAGATGAATTTGTTTTGTACATTTTCCAGTAAAAAAAAAATATTAAAAAAATAAATAAATAAAACAATACAATTTTAAATGTACCGGTACATACACTAAACAGGATAGAGTTTTTAGTGCTGTAACGGATCTCAAAGTTCGGTTCAGTTCGGTTCGGTTGCGGTTCGATTTGTTTTTCTCCGAACTTCTGTTCGGTTTGACTTCGGAAGTGCATACATAATGTACATGTCCGTACTACAATGTAATGAAAAGCATATACTGTACATGTACATGTCGGCCGTTTCCCCTGTTCGAACAAACATGTGTGTACCGCGCACGGTGTGACAGAAATAGGTACCGCAATTGCTATACAACACAAGTTGAAGAAGGAATCTCATTTTTGTTGTGTAAACAAAATACCATAATCATTTGAGTTTATCACGTTGAGAAATAAACATCGTAAATTGCTACATGTTACCGGTGTAATCTTGGCCCTCGGGCTATCCCGGCCCCGCGGCGGCCCAGCGAACTACATGTACATGTATGATCAAAATTTTCCCATGCATGCTGATTTGTTTTGCCGACGAATTCCGTCTGCGTCCGAGCATTCCCTGTGCACTAAAAACTTGCTTCGTGGCAATAATTGCTGATTAGTTTTGTTCTAAGAACAAACAGGTCCTTTTACTGTACTAAACTTATGAAATCATAATTATTTTTAGCAACAAGCTGACAAATAGCTACTGTAAAAAAAAATCACCTTTTCGTTTCGCGACTGACTTTCATTCTGAGGACGGATCCATTAATTTTGTAAAGGGGTGCTCCACCCTCTTTTGAGAGATTACATCATTTTTCGGTTAAATTCTTTACGAAAAAAAATATATTGCGATGAGTAAGAACTTATTCTGAACGAGGGGAAGGTTTCTGACTCCATAAAAAGTATTATTTGTAATTTTGACATGGTGAAAAAAATTTAAATGCTGATAAATTGTGCCGAGGAAAGCGCACCCTTTACCACAAATGGTTTGGTCCAAACCAGTGGCGCCCCCCATGAAACCTTGTCGCCCCCCCAGTCGCCCCCCCCCCACTGAGATTTTGAGTTTCTAAAAAAATTATCATTGATCTACATGACGCCCCCCCCCATGAAATGTTCCAGCCCCCCCAGCGCCTCCCCACTGAAAAATTCCTGGCTACGCCACTGCAAACGCAATACGTCATTGAAAGCAGCAAGGCAGGGATATCCCGGCCACACTGTGCGGCCAAAGCAAGAGCACACTTTTCACGCATGGGTGCGTACAATTTTTTCAAAGCGTATCGTCCCCGATATCCTATTGTATGCCTGTCTAGAACATCGTAAATAATGAAGATGAATGTGGAGACTTTTCAACACGGTAGATTCAATCATTCGTGCGTTTTATTTTTGCCCATTCATTGCAAGCATTAGCATTCATGGCACTATCAACAAATACTTGCCGAACTCTTCCGAACCAACTTTTGGGTTCGGTTCAGTTCGGGTTCGGTTCGGAAGGCCAAGTTCGGCTATTTTTTAGTTCGGTTCGGCTGCAGCACTAAGAGTTTTACTAGTTCATTGTTTCAAAAAGTAGTTAATCGTGCAAGTTAGGAAAACTTGATTCCAGCATTGCTAATAGTGGACATGTATAACATCACATAACATGATAGTAAAACTGTCTGGGCACAGCCTCACGTGTATGCACAAGTTGAGCAACAAAGATATAGTGATTTTTGGTCTCAGTTAAGAAAAAATACTGAGTCCCATTGATTCACCAAAAAAAAATTAGGAATTCTACAATTTTACAATGCCATAGCAAAGGGAAAGTACATGTATGTGCCATATTTTCAGGAGTATTTGTAAATTTACATACGTACATTTTTTAATTGGTTTACATGTATTCCATTTTTGCATGGTTGTCTTCACACTATGACGCATGGAACAAATTAGCTTTTGTCTTCCGGTCACACTCAAACTCAAATGTAGTCTCTTTCTGGACATTATAAATTTCCTAACTTAGCCAAAATATTTGTGTGCATTTATACTAGCCTTCATTATATATTTGACCTCTAGGTTGGTCAATTGACCTAATTGACACTGTCATTTGACCAGGCCCCTGCCATGCATCCAGGGTGTTCCAAGACAAAGATTGAGTAACTAAGTATGAGGCAGAGATGTGCACTTACTTACTTGTCATTCAGATCTAAAAGTAAAATAGCATTCATGTAGCATGGTCAATTTATGGCAGTGGATCAGTACTTGAACTGAAAAATCAACAGTTTTCTAACATCACTGAAAGTCCCTGAGCTTCATATTGGCCATCTTTGGAATTTCAACACTTTTAATGAATATTCCTGCTACATGTACCGGTACTGTACATGGGTCTCAAGCAAGTATGGTACATGTACATTTATGTACATGTAGGTGAAGTCAAATAAAATAAACATGTAGTATACATCATGTACATGTACATGTATGTCCATGTACTACATGTATGTACTTTTCATGTATTCGTATGACTCCCTGTGGTGCATAAGGGCGATTCCAAGGTTACTCGCATTACACTTTTTTGCACCCTTTCGTGTTCCGATTGCTGTGGTTTTAGCAGTAGTTGGATTATCTATCTCTTATGCTGCATAAATATACCCTATATTCAAGGCTTCAACCTGATGGTAAAAAAAAATATGTTAGTACCATGACAAGATCGTGGCACTCTTTCGAAAAAACGGTTACTCGCATTACACAAAAAGGACATGCCAAAAATTGGCTCTGTTTGATTCCTCGGTCTGCTTAAACTGAAAGTGCAAGGACCAAATTAATATATTTACAGGACACCTACCACAGTACTTAACTGAAATGGTTAATAAAAAATGAAAACCCAAATCAGATATAAATTATACAGTGAGAAAGGTTGGTTACTCGCATTATGGTTACTCGCATTACAGTTTGTCCGACACTTTGGCTGTGGTCAAATACAAATTTTACCCCCACAATTTCGATCAGATATTAACTGCATGGAGTTGCACAACCCTTAACGTATGGACGGAAACCAAAATAAAGCCAACAGACAAGTCAAGGAATAAAAGATGACCAAAGAAGGATTTTGGTTACTCGCATTACGGTTACTCGCATTACAATTTGGTTCATTTGGTTGAAAAAAAAATCAAATCTTAATCAGGACAGGTCTAATTCAACCTAAATCATTTTATCAAACAAAACAAATGGCTAGGCTATACAATTAAATCAATTAATCATTCTTTAAGTATCAGTGTAATTAAAAGATTACCACTCAATCTTAATTTGTCTTTTAGAAAAGTTTGATGGTGCCCAGCACAGGCCTATTGAACATGAGTTATATTGTCATGTACATGACAATATAACTCTAAAAATGTCAATTATGCATATTTACTGATAACATTCCCTCATCAACTCTCAAGTTTGCTTTTACTGTTTGTACATCAACATTAGATTGATTGTACACAATGTGATTTTATGCAGATTCTGAGCAACTTTTGATGTAGGCCCTATGAATTCTTATACTGTTCAGATATGTGTACCACAAATCCTAGTCTGCATCAATTTACATTTTCAAGGGGCTTCCATTATTTCTTCTTATCAAAAAACAGTAAATCAGTAATCAAAAGTCATAATTTTTATTCATTATCATTATGGAAAGTTATATGGTTACTTGCATTACAGTGGTTACTCGCATTTCAATTTTTGACACCTACTGATGACATCATGCTTGGTATCATTTTCATTTCTTTTATCAATTCAATAGTTGTTACTAAGGGAAGAAGCAAAATATGAAATGGCAAAGACAGAATCAATTTTATTCAGCAGCAATATCAAAAACTTGATGTTTTGGTTAAGTCTCGCATTAATACATACCCAAACCAATGCAACAAAATTGCATCCACACTGCTATACAAGGAGCCATGGTCCAAAATTTGTTAATGTTTTGAGAAGATCTGAAGTCCAAGTATCAAAGTAAAATATAGTTTTAATAAGGCTAGTTCTGTGTAAAAATAACCAACCATTTGAAATTTGAATATTGAAAGGCTGATTTTTTTCCAGCCAAAGAACACCTTTAGTAATCTGAATTTTTTTCACAGAAAGTGATGAAGGATTGGCGAAAAAAAGTTTATATCCTGATCCTTACATGTGTTAGCAATAACTTAAATGCAAAAACCAAGCTCAGGAATGAATTTCATATTTTGGGATCATGTCTCTGTTTGCTTGGAATCGCCCATAAGCAAGTTACTGTGAATTTTCACTCTGTTTTTCTTTTCATTTAATTTTGTTTTTACAGTTTTGCAAAGTTTTAAAATCCTTAATCAACCTTTTATCTTTTAGTTTTGTGTCTTCTGTATAAATCTTTATAATTATTCAGTATTTATTATGATGACATTTTAAAAGCACCATCTCAATTTGTCATGATGTTGTGCTGAGGTCACAATTCATTATTCACATTGAAACCTTCCATTGCAGTTACATGTATGTCAGTTCTTTTATAATAATGTATACATTCATGTTATTTTGGCGGCTTTTTTCTTCCGAGTGTTATTTCTGATTTTGTTAAAGTGCTGCATTTTTTTGATGTTTTGTTTCATTAGCATTCATCAGTCATCAAGGGAAAATAGTCGCATATTTACCCAAATAATCTTGCACTAAATTCTGTCACCACAATGTTGTGTTTTATTCCAAATCTTACATTGCCTCATTTTTGGTTTGTCTTGATTGTCTTCTGTCTTCAGTTTATTTTGGTTGGTGTTCTGATGACCACAGTCATCATCAATATCTTGTTCATTGCTGACACTGGACGAAGGCTCAGGGAGGTGCAATCTGAGGGTAAGCAAAGTACTTTGACCCCTTCATGTAGCTTTCAAGTTGCACTCCGTATACATTAATGATGGACAGTGTTTCCTACTTGGCATTGGAATGTACATGATGCCATTTGGTTTACAGCTCTCGTTCAGGCAGTGCCTAGTCTTTGGACAAAGCTTTGAGGCAAATTGAGTAGAGACTACACAGTGCAGGCTGAGTTATTTGTCAGGATTGCCTTTTGCCCTTGGTTGTTGGTGATGGCACTATTGAATTCTTTGGGTATGATGTCAAGAATGAGTTCTACTTATCATTCAAATATGTTGCCTGCAGGAAGCCTCTACATGCCCTGAGATCAAAACTTGATGCACTGAACAGTCATCATTTTGCCTTGATTGTACTTGAACCAGTCCTTTCTGTGCACCCAGGATCATGGCCCACGTGCATTTAAACCTTGACAGCTGATAGGCCATTGTGACTACTGCCAATATTTAATACATGCGTACTGACATACTTTCTCTATCCAAAAGGGTAGAGAAGTTTTCCAAGGGCAAAAGGCAATCGTGATGATCTCATGGGGTATATTTGGTCGCCCCTCCAGTTGTTAAATGTTTAAAGTCTTGTCAAAGGACGGGTAGTGCTTTGATTAGTTTTATGCGAGGTGGAATTTAGTCACAATAAGAATATGTATGCAACAGAAGCTTTGAACAGATGAATCCCTGTAAAATGTTGCAGCATTGTAGTTCTTTTGTCACAAACCTGAAATCATGGTGAATATTTGTTCTGAGGCTGAGTTAATTATTTTATAAATTACTTGATTGAAGGATTTTTGTGACAAACATATTATTTGACCCCAAATTGATAACCTCTCCATTGACAAACAGTGTACATTGTAGTCTTTCTCATCATTATTTTCATTATTTGCCAGGAGGAGTTCAAGATGAAGTGGTGGAGACAGATTTGGTTTCCAATGGCAACACATTTGATAAACTTCCCCATCAATTGGAAATAGAGGTTCTGTCTAGTGACAAGAAGGCTGCAATATCTGTAGGGGGTACTCAGGTAATGTAGATGACATGTTTGTATGTATGTCTATGAAAAAGCCTCAAATCTTACTTGTATATTTTACATTCTTCATGCCCAAACCAGTTCATTGTGTAGCCTAAACAAAGTTTTGAGAGACACTTATCAGTCCTAAATTCTGTATGACCGTACTTACCATGGACCACTTGTGGGGTACCTGTCCATTGGAAGTACCCCGCAAGTGAAATCTTTAGAAATAGGGACAAAGGGACAACAATACACCAACCCTAGAAGTGTCCGCCCGCTGGAGCGTCCGTATGACCATGGACCCGTATGTTAAAGTTTTGATTTTGATGAAACTTGGTGCAGTGACCCTTGGTCAAAGGTCATGTAGGGTTCATTAGAAGTCATTGTTTAAGTATGCTTCAAATGTTTCTTTGTCTACATTATTTGATGGATTTTGATGTCCCTTGGATGGAGTGATCCTTCGGTGGGGGTTTCTTCTGAAATTAGAGGTCAAAGGTCATCTAGGGGTCATTTGAGGTTGTTGTTTTAAAAGGCACTTTTTTTAAACACGTGATCAGGGGATCAGTTGTTGATTTTATGAAACATATCCATTTTTAGTTTGGAAGGGCTTTCATTCCATCTGCAAGTTGTTAAAAATGAGAGTATATTCATTGAAATCCTTTACAGGCATTTTCCAGTTTTATAAATAGGATGAAATGAGATCTTCCTTTTGGATTTTGAGTTTCCTGGTTTGTGTACTACAGGAATATATCTTAGTTCATGTCATGGAAGGAAACATTAATATACCACAGTTTCTTTAAAAAAGTATCAAGTATTTAATTGTTTTTCCAACGAAATTCCGACTTTCATGATTTGCCCCACAAAATTTGATTTTTTAATGATTTTTTTCACAATATGTGATTTTATTTAGATTATAATTTCGAAGAAAAGTCGATGAAAATGGCAAATAAAAATTATCGTGAGTGTAGATTTAATCTCTTTCACCAGATGTAAATGGAGTGATTCTACGGTAGAATCATCTAGGCCAACACTGATTAGAGCCTTTTCGGCTGGATAAAAGGTTTAACATTGACCTGTCACTTGGAAAAAATCACTGCGTCACACGGTAATACAGTGTGTGGTGCGTGTGTGCGCACAATGCAACAGTACCACCTTACCGCCCGCTATACAGCCGACTTGGTACGGGTAGCCACATGAATGATCCAATGGATAAAATCCAACATGTGTGATTTTTGGAGGTTCAGATGAAGTTGTACAAAATGCAATGCTTTAAAATCAACATGATTATCTTGAGGATGGCGTAGAGAACATAAGTGATACATTTCACTGGCGGTTGCTGGAAGAAAAAGACGATAATACCTGATTTTTCCCACGTACCGGTACGTTACTGGAGTTTGGCTGAATCATGGACATGATTGAACATGTTGAATGGTGTCATGAATGGTGCCCTTGTGTATCGGACTTTTTCCTTGACTTTCTCAAGTAAGATGTGAACTTCTTTGTTGATGAGTCCGTTACTCTAACTGTAATTCAGGCTTTTTAATCTTATGAAAACACTGAACATTTTTCTTATCGTACAAAACTTCGTTTGGATCTAAAATAAAATGGGAGGCAGTGTCCGGAAATTGGGCATGAAGTGTATTGTACATACCGGTACATGTGTACATGCACATGTGTAACTGCAGCGTATGCCAGATTTTCGATCCGCCTAAATATTTTCCGATTTTTTTCCCCATATGCCAGTTTCATTTCTGATTTTTGTTTTTTGTTGGTGTTTGTGTTTTTCTTTGCTTGGATATTTGTTCTTCTGCCTTAACTTAAGATGTAATCACAATGAACTCTTGGTAAAAGTTCTGAATTTGCCACATAAAAAGTATCTTATTTCATCTTTATTCATGCAGTGCTTTTCAGAATCTATCATTGTAGTAAATAGGCTTTGTGTTTGTATTGTACTTGTTTTATGTTTCAAGATATCTTTTACTGTCTTATTATGATGAAATTAAACAGTTACTGTCTTGTTTTTATTCAGTCATTTTGTACTTCCTGCAAATGTGGTATATTATTATTGACAGCGTGAATTTGGATTTCTTCTCATTCAATCTGATATTTTGCTGTTTGGGTTTACCGTGGATAAATAAAGGAAAAAGTAAACAAAATAATATAATAATAATGTGAGTGTAGTCCCACCAAAACAGAAGACCAATATATTCTGTTTTTGGTATGTTGGAGTTCATGGCAGAAAACGGATGTCTGTTGTACTGACTAGTGTGGGTTTTGGGTTGCTTATCTTCATACCTTGCTTTTTGAATTAGAGACTGACCATGTTTTTACAAAAATGGGATAGTCGGGCTGTCTTAGTGTTATTTTTCCTCCTATTTATCTCTAGTGACCCACTGTTAAAGTTTTACTAATACACTACATATGCATGGTGTGGGTACATGTATACATGTATGTATCCAACACAAAACTGATATTTCATTCCTGGTTTCCTCTCAAGTAGAAATTTGAATTAGAGTAGTACCGTACTTGACTATTCTGTCAATAGTTTGATTTTCTACTTTCTGTATGCATTTAAATATGGAAAATAATGCTTGCTCACTTTGTGACTGAAATCAGTTGCATAACTGCTTAAGCATTGATCATTGAGGACATTCTTCTTGGTGGTACATTTCTTTGCACATGCTACAGGTTGTAGAAGAGGAAGAGAAAGATGTTGGGAGGGGCATTCACATCTTAGTACTAAACCAAGCCACTGGTAGTGTCATGGCTAGGCGTGTCTTTGATACCTATGTGGCACATGAAGATGAGGCTATGGTGTTGTTTCTTAATATGGTGTCTGATGGAAGGATACTGATATTCACCATTAAGGTGAGTGCTCTTTTGTGATTCCAGTTCGGCATATACCTAGTTGGGTCCGGTACCTAGAAACAGGAACCATTCTACAATGGAACTTGCCACTATGATGTACATGTATGTCATTGACAGTACTGCGAGCCAATCATACACATCAAAGTGGTTAAATTACGACAAAGTAAAAAAAAGGCCATTCAAGTATTGTTAGATTGAAGACAAATAAGAAATGGATATTTTTGCAAGTCTGCATACTTTGTTTTTGCTTCTCTGTGTATTTCCTTAATGCTCATACTCATAACATGGTCTGAAGCTACATTGTTATGATAATTTTGCAATTACTGGCCACCAATGAGCACAGCCTGAGAATACCTTACAAACCCTGGACCATCAATCCCACCTAAAACACCGGTGTGTATCCATCACACTACATTGTATATATCAAATGTGATGTACCCAGGGTGGCTTTACCAAGTTGGGGAGTGCATGTACCTACTGGAAGGAGGGGTCATCCAGTCCAGTGTACCCAGAATCGTGTTTCTAGGGTGCAAATTGGTAGTGCTGCAGCCGAACCACCGAATCGAACTAAAAATGGCCGAACTTGGCCTTCCGAACCGAACCCCAACCGAACCGAACCGAACCCAAAAGTCGGTTCGGAAGAGTTCGGCAAGTATTTGTTGATAGCGCTAGGAATGCTAATGCTTGCAATGAAAGGGCAAAATTAAAGCGCACGGATGATTGAATTTACCGTGTTGGAAAGTCACCGCATGCATCTTCATTATTTGCGATGTTCTAGCCAGGCATACAATAGGATATCAGGGCCGATACGCTTTGAAAAAATTGTACGCACATGCAATTCTCTAGATGAAAATCGTGCTCTTGTTTTGGACGCGCAGCGCGGCTGGGATATCCCTGCCCTGCCGTGTTCTATGACGTAGTTCGTTTGGACCAAACCATTTGCGGTGAAGGGTGCACTTTCCTCGGCACAATTTACCAGCATTTTCATCTTTTTCACCGTGTCAAAATTACAAATAATACTTTTTAAGGAGTCAAAAACCTTTCCCTCGTTCAAAATAAGTTCTTAATTTTCGCAATATATTTTTTTTTGTAAAGAATGTATACGAAAAACGATGTAATCTCCCAAAAGAGGGTGAAAAATTAATGGATCCGTCCACAGAATGAATATTCAGAGCTGTCGCAAATCGAAAAGTTATTAATTTTCTACCGTAGCTACTTGTCAGCTTGTTGATAAAATAATTATTATTTCATAAGTTTGGCACAGTAAAAGGACCTGTATGTTCTTAGAACAAAACTAATCAGCAATTATTACACAAAACTAAATTATTACACAAAACTGGGTGCTGTGGGACTTAACCTATTTGGGATGCACCTTGTTGGGGTCTGTGCATTAGGATATCCAGTGATGTCTAGCTGGTATGTAACAGCACATGGATTGGGATTTCTCAGTGGTATGGATTGACTGTTGGGTTGTACATGTACCTAGTTTGGAGGTACCCAGCTAAGGCCAAAAAAAAAAGTCTCCGGTTTCTGGTATGCGCGCGCGTCGCCGTAGCCCTGCGCGTCGGCAAAATGAAAAAGTGGTTTTTTTCAATAAAAGATGATGTCTCAAAACCGCCAAACTCACTGGTTTGACTGGAATTCTGCTGCAGCACAGTTTTAACGTGTTTTTAGATGGGGGTATGATCGAGAATAAGCTTTATGTGGACTCACTGGACTCCCGTACATTTTGCACTAAGTTTAGTCGGGCACCATTTGCAGTCATCAGCCGACATTTGAAGCAAAAAAGTCAGATAAAAAAAAAAAAAAAGCCGCGTCGCCGCACCACTTTTTGGGCAAGCTCCATACCAGAAACCGGAGACTTTTTTTTTTGGCCTAAGGTGTACTTGGTGGTGGAGAAGCAAATGTTGTATACACTGCAGATGTACCCACTGGGATGATCTCAGTGGGATACAGGGAGATTTACAAAGTAGTCCCACGCACTTAGTTTTTTGGAAATGTTACACTCTTGGTAAATTGGGACTGGCGGATGTACAGTAACCAGTGAATACTTTTCTTGACTTAGTGTCAACATGTTGTACATGGTTGTATTTGCAGGTGGGGAAATGCAAAATACACAGATTGTTTTCCTGAACTTTAGCTTATTTTCTATATTGATATTTCCATTGTATGAATTAAAACTGCTTTGTTGTCCTGCACTTTGCAACAGGATGAGGGTACATTTCAGCTAAAGGAATCGGCCCGTGCATTCCTGAAGACCCTTGGTAGTAGAGATGCTGAAAAGATGGGCTGGCGGGATACTTGGGCATTTGTGACTCAGAAGCAGAGGAAGCATGGTGAGTAGGCAAATGGGTACTACCATCAGGTATGGCTGTCCAGCTATTATGATCTGATCCTATCAACACATCCAAGTACATATTTTTCCCATGGCGGTGTGAAACACGCCGTGGGCTTGAGCTGCTTATGTTGGTTGGTGGGTGGGTGGGTGGGTGGGTGGGTTGGTTGTTGGACACTTCACTCGGGGGCTATATATTGTATTCATACAACTCAAGTATTACAGCTTTGTGACTCAAGTGTGACAGCTTTGCATTCGAAGACTGGTTTTGCAAACACTGTTGCGCATGCATCCAATTTGCATATTTTTCGCATATTGGATCACGCCCCATTCCTTTTCGTTTTCTGTACTATCGAGGAACCGGTGTCATGCCAAAAAATGTCTGTGCTAAATAGTGTCCGCTTAGCGTGCATCATATGGCGTGCTTGTGGTCAGCTTCCAAGACGTCACAAATGAAATCGTTTTTCATCTAATTTTCCTTTTATACTTTTGTTTCTAACTGTAACTTTTCTATCTGTTACTATTAAACTGATTATAGAATTTGTTATGAATTGATATTTCTAACATTTAAACTCAAATTCGGCTAAAAGCTTTGTTTTTGTGTCAGGTCACGTGTGTACGTGTAGACTAGGTAGCGTGATAGTGGTCAATGTACAAATTATTCCTCTGGCTGCTAAATGACGGTTTCATTTTGAGCATCGTTTGGTGCAGTATTTGGCAAGAAAATTGACGAACAGTATCGTAAATCCGTGCTGTAATGCATGACAGCGCTCGGACACTATATTTAGCACCGGACACAAGTGTCTTGCGTCTGTTGTACATGCTCAGGGGACACTATTTAACACCGGACAGTTTTGGCATGACACCGGTATGGCAGTACGGCCTCGAATTTTCTTTCCCCAAACTACATCCATGGTTTTTGAGCGCCCTCTACGATACTTTTATGATACGTACACAGGTATATATTACCATGAATGTCCAGGATTTGTCGAGCAGTGCGATAGCTCAGTCGGTAGGGTCGTGATTTTGTACTCCGAGGGATCTTCCCGGTGTTGTGGGTTCAAGTCACCGTTTTGTACCCAATTTTTTTTCTAATCTGAGGCTTTGGAGGATTTCTTTTAAAAGGCAAATAAAGTCTGAATTACATTACGTTTGATTTCATTTCTTTTTTTCTAATTTTGTATTTTTTCTCATGTTTTTAAGAAAAGTAAAGTGCAAAATGCCATAGCGTACAACCCCATGCGAATGTCGTTTGGGGAAAAAAAAATCGCGGTACAGCCCGGGAGCATGGACGGTGCCGTATAGCCGTCTTCACACGTTACCCGGCCGCCGTGGCTTGTACCACATGGTTCTTGTTGGTATTCTATTTGGTGTCTGTTGCTTGACTAAATATATAGCCCAAAACAGATCAAAAGTGGACTTGGTCAAAATTTTGAATCAAAACTCTCCTTATATTTTTTTCTCATTTATCAAGATTGAAACAAAAATTCTCAACTCAACTTTTGTATGATAAGTTAAGCATTATTTGTACAAGTACGAAATGTTGATCCTACACAGTAAAATTGATGTACATATTATGATCTCTATTCATGTAACATGTCTGTCTGTCTATTGTGCTTGCACAATCTCAGTGAGTTAAATGGTTGTAGCATTTTAGATTCAGATAGTTGTATCATTGCTAGATACCTGGATGCTCTCTTGCAGGTCATGCATTTGCAGAGATGCACAACAAAGCAGTTGACATGAATCATTGGGGTTCTCCAGTCATACTTAAGACTACCATCAACCTTATGTCAGTCAAAGGTATGTTCAGAAACGTCCTACTTAATATTATCTTGATTTGAACTTTTCCCTTTTCTGTCAAAAGCAGTCTGTTTGTAATCAATGAGTGGAGTCCTCAGTGTTACTCTACTGCATATTATATAAACTGTAATGCATATTCATACAATGTAGCTTTCTATATAATTTAGGCATTTTGCACTATGTGCTTAAACAATACATAACATGTCTAGTTGACAACACATGTACAAGTTCTGGATTAATAACTCCTTTTCATCTTATTTTCTTTTTTTGGGTGACTTTTGAGTACTGAACTGATTTATGTCTTTTTTTTTCAGAGAGTGAATGCAGTTGGCCCGATACAGAAGCAAATCAAAGGAGACGTACCTTCTGTGATCAACTGGAAGGATATGGAAGTCTTTGTTCCTGTGATGCCCCAGCTCCTATTGAAATGAGACCAGAACAAGTCAGTCACATTCTGAATACTGGCCTAAGTCCTTCAGTCCAGAATTTGTCCTAGCTCAACCACCTTTTTGTTGCTTTGTAACTTTCTTTGACATATTTTCAACATTTTATTGTATTTTCTTTCTTACAGCTTAAGAACAACACGATGTGGAATATTCCAGTGGTTGTAATTGCCAGTAATAGACCAAACTACTTGTATCGTATGCTGAGGTCACTTCTCTCAGCTCATGGAGGTTAGTTACAACTCAGTATTGAAGAAACAAGAGTTTCCTTATTCGTACAAGATAATTAATCATGTGTCATAATTTTACCAACCTTATTCCAAGTGATTTTCTGTATTGTTTTTAAGTGAGTGAGTTAATTTATGTCATTTTTGGGTGGTGTCTTCACTTTTGAAAGTCTTTCATCTCAAAGTCATCACTGTGTGATAGTGATTGTATTAATACATGAGTAAACCAACACATGATAAGTTCATGTCATTCGTATGCAGATCGCAAGCATGTCAAAAGCCAGATTTAATCCTTTTTTTCTGTTTAAAAATTCTTTTCAGTGAATCCCAAAATGATCAATGTCTTCATTGATGGCTACTTTGAAGAGCCACTGGAGGTGACCAGACTATTTGACCTCAAGGGAATACAGCATACACCAATAGGATCCAAGGCTGGCCGGATAAGCCAACACTACAAGGCTAGCCTTACGGCTACATTCTCTATGTACCCGGTATGTACACAGTCAAGGCTGGTCAGCGCAGTGAATAGGTTTATCTAGATACCAAGTTTTTATTATTATTATTTATTATTATAAGCCAACACTAACAGGCTAGCCTTACGGCTACATGCACATTATCTATGTAACCGGTAAGGCTGGTCAAATAAGCCAACAGTACCAGGCCAGCTTTACGGCTACATTCTCTATGTCCCCGGTATGTACACAGTCAAGGCTGGTCAGATAAGCTAACACTACAAGGCTAGCCTTACGGCTACATTCTCTATGTACCCAGTATGTGCACAGTCAAGGCCAGTCAGATAAGCCAATACTACGAGCTAGCCTTACGGCTACATTCTCTATGTACCCAGTATGTGCACAGTCAAGGCCGGTCAGATAAGCCAATACTACGAGGCTAGCCTTACGGCTACATTCTCTATGTACCCAGTATGTGCACAGTCAAGGCCAGTCAGATAAGCCAATACTACGAGCTAGCCTTACGGCTACATTCTCTATGTACCCAGTATGTGCACAGTCAAGGCCGGTCAGATAAGCCAATACTACGAGGCTAGCCTTACGGCTACATTCTCTGTGTACCCAGTATGTGCACAGTCAAGGCCAGTCAGATAAGCCAATACTACGAGGCTAGCGTTACGGCTACATTCTCTATGTACCCAGTATGTGCACAGTCAAGGCCAGTCAGATCAGCCAACACAGCCAACACTATATGGCTAGCCCGTTGGTAGCCAATTGGCCTCTGTAGTCATTCAAGCTAATGCAACTAATGTGATTGCCTGCAGTATTCAAATATTCACCTCCAGAAGTTGTGTAGATAGCCTTTCCAAGGCTGGAATCACAAGTATAATTCCATATTGTTTTAAGAACTCTTAAGGAAAGCACTTGGGAGTATACTTTGTGTTCCCATGACAACCCAATTTAAGAAAGTTCTAAATTAACCCTAACCCACCTCACTCCTCCAAAATCCTCCTGGCGGTTTTGGAGGATTCTAGAGGATTGAGGATGAATGGTGATTGAATCAAATGAGGATTCTGGAGGATTGAGGATGAATGGTGATTGAAGCACATGAGGATTTTGGAGGATTGAGGATGAATGGTGATTGAAGCACAAGAGGATTTTGGAGGATTGAGGATGAATGCATTTTGAGGCAGGACTGTCGGATGATTTTGAAGGATTTGGCATTGGTTATCCTTCATTTAAACACGAGTGCAAAATTTTGGGTTGAGGAGGATTTTGGAGGATTGACGATGAATGCATTTTGAGGCAGGACTGTCTGACAATTTTGAAAAATTTGGGCGGAGTTGAAAAATTTTGGAGGATTTTGGAGGATTGAGGATGGTTCTTAGCCAAAAGGGCCTAGGGGGTTAGGGTTAAGGAATAAAATTGTGATGAAAAAGTGTAAACGTTTCGTTTCAAACTTGGCAATTTGCTTAACCCCCCCTCCTCCCAAACGTCATTTTTTTTTTTTAAATTGTACATTTTATGACGGTTTTAAGACGGTTTAGATGTTGATACAGTAAAGTCCAAATTTTGCCCTCTGGTGTAAAACGCTGGATACACTTCTGGGTTAAAGGGTCTTTGACATGAATTTTTCTAAGAAACATTTTTGTGTGCAACTTTATACTCTGCTTAAATGTATGAATTTTAAAAGTGCACTTCTTAAACATGTTAAACATTAAGAATTTCCCATGCTGTTCCGGACAACAGAGGGCGTTGTTGCTGTGATGTCATTTCAGGAAGACGCTGTTCAGTTTAGGGATTTTTTTGTTTAAATTGTGAACCCAAAAAAATTGCTCATTGCAAACATTTGTGAGAAAAGTTTGTTCATTGACTCTTTGCCATGTTCTGACACAACTTATCACCAAAGAAAAGAAAAAGTATGACAGCAAAATATCCTAAATTCTGGCAACTTTTGGTGCTGAAATAGCTGTAACATTGAGGTTTCTGCCTGGAATGACATCACAGTTTTGCTTATGACTATGTAAATTCACATTGGCATCCAACCAGACACCCAAATACCCTTGAAATTGGCAAAACAAACATTGAAAATGAAGTTAAATATGACTCAAAGGTGTATTTTCAAGGATTGCATTAAAAGTTTACATTGCATGGGACCTTTATAGGTTTGAAAATCTTGCAGTTTGGGAAAAACAGCTCTTAGTAATTTTATAAGGAGTAGGAGTAGCACTCAATAAGGAGTAGCATCCAATAAGGAGGAGCTGAAGCTGACCCAAGTATTAACCTCTTGCTGCTTGCTTGCCTGGGAGTATATTATGGTCTCGGAAGTAACACTCAAATGACTAGCTTAGTTGTACATATTGTTAACCCTAACTCAACAGACTCATAAGAATCATCATCACTGATATTTCTCCACCAGAATGCCAAGTATGCAATCATTTTGGAGGAAGATCTGGATGTTTCAGAAGACATATTTAGGTAAGAGAGAGGATGATCACTAGAGCTGTAGCTGATTTCAAGATTTATGCAGTAAATTTGTTGTACACTGCACAACTACTTTGCCATTAATTGCTTAAAACTTGGCAACGATGCACAGGTTTCATTCTAAACTTTGACAAGAAAGATGATTTGCTTTTTGCTTAATTTCATTATGGTCACTAGGCAGGTGTTAGATTAGCTCAGTGCGCCATTTTTTTAAAATGTATAAAATCGGGCAGCAACTCTCAAAAATTCTCTGTCTAACCCAGCATTTCATAACCCTCAAAACTAAAGCTGTGAATTTTTTGTAACAACCTTCATATGTTGAGGGATGACAGGTTCTATGATGATCAAGTTGCAGACTCATGCATGCACTCCTGCGATGTAACTTTCTGGAAACAGTGTTTCATAAGTCATGCAACAAAATGTTGCACAAGCAAAGTTTTCACCGTTGCATAATGTTTCAATTTTAGAAGTGAAAGATCAGTTGTATATTTCGTAGTTGTGTATGGAGTGAAGTAACAAATATATGCTGTTTTACATGAACAGTTTTAAGCACTTTGCTTCTAAAAAGATATCAAGGATTACAAGGATATCATGTTATAAGATGTGGCATGTGGGGTATTGAATCAGGATTAATGTTGATTAAACAACTTTACTTGTTACGGTTGATATTTATTAGGAAGCCATTGAATCGGCCCAGTATCGATTATAAACAGAATCTTGCAGCAATTCTCATGATGCTCGCGGAACATGGAATAATGTAGTGTGTTTGTGGGACACAGCAGCACTACATTTTCCGTGTTCCACAAGCACGAGCGGGACAACCAATTTATCTTCAAGCAAACTTGATGCACAGTCCTGTTTTACTATACTTTCGAGGACAATGCTTTGTGTTTCCCTTTGTCCCTGTAATGTAACACTCTCCCATAGACTTAGCACACGAACTTACTACAGAGGACAATTTCCAACAAAAGACCCAACTCCTGAGGACTGAAAGGATCTGTTGTTCTCCCTTTGTGTGTCGGTCCGCGGGGGTTATGTAGATCACGTACACGCATGCTATACACAAACTTTTCAGTAGTTATTCTATTACACGTGCATGTTGTGCGGGATGGCGTGGGTATCTTAGAATACCGCAATAAGCAGAGTGCGGTATGGACCATGGCTGTGCTACATGGTTATATGTAGCACGGCTTGTTGCCATAGATCGACCAATCAGGATTTAGGATTCAAGTTTGGTTGAAGATAAAAACTAATGCCAAATGTCTAGCTAACATTTAAAGAAAAACAATATTGTTTTTGTGTCTTTAATTTGTTTTCAGCTATTTCAGTCAGACAAGTTACCTACTTGAAAAGGATGATAGCCTGTATTGTATATCATCCTGGAATGACCTGGTGAGTTACACAGACTTTTGACCTTATTTTCCTCATGGTGTGATTGATCCAATTGCCTCACAATCCAATACACCATGTAGTGTATCAGTGTTCTCTGTCAGTGGTTCCTTGTCATTGTATGCTCAGTGTGATGGAACCAATGTCAAGTTGATGTCTTAAATGGACATTCTTTGTGTTTGTGACAGAGCCCCCTCTGTCAAATCATGCCCTGGTTACTCCTAACCATTATCTGGTATGATGCTCTGCTCTATTTGTCCTCTGAGTGGCGTATGGAACACAGATGCACTACATTTTCTATGTCCCATGAGTGTGAGTGGGATAATGAATTGATCTTTAAGCAGACTTTACGTACATTTAATATGGAATGCGCACACTGTGGTCACTGTTCAGCAGTCATCCTATTCCACCTGTGTGCTATTCAATGTACATACCGATCAATAGTGTGGATGTACTTAATTACCATATGGACTGTATAATATGGGTTAAAATCACACTGTTGTTGCCATGGATCAACCAATCAGGATCAAGGCTTTTATGTTGTGCGTGAAGATAAAGCTCTTTATCATGAAACCCAGACATGGCACATATTTCTGTGATCCATTTATTCACCATGAATAGATAATTGAATGGCTGTTTTGTTGTGTTCTTTGAACCCTTTAGGGTTATGAGCATACAGTTCATGACCCTGCTCTGCTGTACCGTGTAGAAGGTATGCCTGGTCTTGGCTGGTTGCTGAAGCGGTCACTGTATAAGGAGGAGCTAGAACCTAACTGGCCCACACCAGAAAAGGTACGTCTTGGCTTAGCCTGAATCAAATCATACGTATGCATAGGCCCAATAGTTCTCTAGATTGTATGACGTAGGTCTTCAGAAGTAATGCCTGAGTATTTTATTCAATAGAGTCCTAGTAAAATGCTTTACTTTCACCAATAAGACCCTATTTTTTGTTTACAAGCAGTGACATTTGCCCAGGTCTGTCATAGGCAGCAATTCTGGTAGATGTATTCAAGACATTGTTGAAAGGCTTGTGAGAAGAATGCTGCCATGAACATAACATCATACTCTCTCAGGTAGCAGTCTCAAGTTGCTATGTAGCGTTTCCTAATTAACCTGAAGCCTCAAAACGTGTTGCTGAACCCCTTGGTTGATGAGCTTCAGATACAGTTACACACTGTATAAACGTGAAAACTGTACTTTTGAAGTCACTTGAACAATAAACGTTACAATAGGATAGTGAAATTTAGTCTGAAATTAAAAAAAAGGTAGGGTCTGGGAAAACTTGGCACAAAATTAAACAGAGGGTTGTATAGCATTGCTTCTAAAAAGACATTTAGGATTACAAGTATGATGTTATAAGATGTGGCATGTGGGGTATTGAATCAGGATTAATGTTGATTAAACAACTTTACTTGTTACGGTTGATATTTGTTAGGAAGCCATTGAATCGGCCCAGTGTCGATTATAAACAGAATCTTGCAGCAATTCTCATGATGTGAGCTTATCTATTGTCTGGTTTGTATCAAAACAAAAATGGTGTGACTGCATATCAAACCTAATGTTGAGTGGATACAATCAGTATCCTCACCACTGGATTAGCAATGTGTTATCATGCCGCCTGTAGGCTGTGTGCCACAACAAACCATTGGAATCCAAAGACTTAATCCAAGGTTTGGATTGAATAGTTGTTGTAAATTGGTCATAATCAATTGGTTTTTGTATGCACCGGGGTTGATCAAAATAGTTATCTAAGCCGAAACTCGCACTGTCAGTGTTGGTCTTAAACAAACTTTCTCCAAAAGGAATGTGCACAGTTTGGTTGAGATCGAGGATTTATAGTTGCTTAAACCAAATAAACAAGGAGCACCTTTTATACCCTCTGATGCATTCATAGCCACTGACATATGGCAATATCCTGTAAGGTCAGTTTAATTCGGCTGGCTTCAGATGCCTATTGCCACTGAAAAACAAATATATTATGACTTGACTGTGCATTGAGTTAATCTCATAAGTCCTGGGTACTCGGTTCAGTCCAAGAGCTTGCAAGAAAAAATATCAACTGCTCGGGTGGGACTCAAACCCACGACCTTCTGCTTAATAGTACATAGGTCTTAAAGACTGAGCTTACCAAGGTGGGCTGACTGGTTTAAATCTGTTTTAGCAGTGGATAGTGTTATTAATATTGTGTGTGATGAAGTTTTGCATTGGATTTTACAAGCATTAAAGCCTTGCACTGAGTATACTTTGCATGTGTCTATTGGTTAGTTTATTGTTTGTTGTTTCATTCATTCTTAAATCAAGTGTATTTCTGTGTCTGTAGGTTTGGGACTGGGACATGTGGATGCGATCACCCCAGGTGCGCAAAGGACGAGAGTGCATCATACCAGATATCTCCAGGACATTTCATTTTGGAGCTAGTGGTCTCAATATGAATAGTCATTTTCAGGTTTGTCAGAATGCCTTTCAAAGTCTTAACCATAGACAATTGATATTTCACCAATATTTGTTGACAAATCTTGTAAATGGGTTTAATGCAAGCACTAACTGAGCTATTAGGATGTAGAGGGCATTGGACTGGTGTAAGCGGAGGGCTATTCTATGTACTCCAACAGTAATGGGCAGTTTGATGGAATTTGCTGACTAAGCAGTTAACAAATACATGTACGTGTTCAAGAAATGTTATTGAGAATAGTTCTTGAATTTTTTTTTTCAACATTTTTAAGAGTGATAAATGTGGGACTTTTCTTAATATATTATGGTAAAAAAAAGGGTTCTTGTGTTGTAGACATGTATGAGTTTTGGAAAATGAAAGCGGAAAACACTTGTGAACAGAAAATAAAAGATTACAATAAATTTTAATGTAAATTTTAATTCAGTCTTGTGCTTGACCCTTGTACCATAGGAAATGTATTTCAAGAAGCATCCTTATAACACAGTGCCTCATGTGAAGCTAAAAAACCTGGAAGGACTGACAAGAGAAGCGTATGAAGACCTGATGCATGGGTTGATCAGCAAGGCAACCGTGCTAGATCACTCCTTAAATCCCTGCGATGAAGAACATTTTATACCATACACCAAGGGCAAATCTTATGTCATGTACATCCAAATGTACACTGACAGTGACTTTGAAACATGGCTTGCTCTTGCAAGGGTAGGTGATAGGTGAACTTACATTGAACCGTTTTGGGTCTGGGCTAATGCTTTGGATTATGATAACTTCTGGATTAGTAATATCAAAATTAGTACCTTTTAATGGCATGCTAAATATCTAAATCAGTTGACATTTCCTTCAAGAATTGAGAAGACATATTAAATAGAGCATGTTAGCCTAGTGACTTTGTCTTCACATAGGCTTGGAGCCTCCAATCATTTCTTCTTTCTTTGTGGAGATGTAGGTTTTTAATATGTTGTAAATTTTTGTCAAGCACTTGTGACGGGAAGGGCAAAGCCTGGTATGGTATTGCACCTGGTCCTGTTTTTCAAAGGCCATGCTCCATTTATTGCTGTTTACCAGCTAATCCTGGCCAAGAAATAAACAAAAATCAAAAAAATGTGGCGTAATACATATGTACGATATGCCTGGAAGTCTGGTATTCCTGAAAAAAATCTGACCTGTTTTTGCATGCTAAAAAGTCTCAAATCTATTAAATGACATTTCTTCAACAGTGCTTCCGTATTTGGGATCTGGATGCCAGGAATGTGCACAGAGCATCATGGCGACTATTCATGAAAGAATCCCCATTATTTATTGTTGGCTTCCCTGCATCACCGTATGCGTAAGTGAACAGATTCAAAAATATTGCCATTTAACAACGTTGAGTTTGGAGAAATCCTGTTTTATTTTGCTATTCACATAGACTTTTGAACTGTAAATTCCTTCAACACAGGATACAATACAGATTGCTGAGCAAAAATCAGATGAAAAGTAATTGAAAACAATACACATTGTATGAAATATTTGGCTGGATATAAAACCAGAGATTTGCCAGTAATTAGATTTAATTTGCACGCAGCTTATAACCCAGGAAAGTACTACTGTGTCACCTGGACTCTCTGCAGCAGTCACTTGATCTGTTAAGCACTGCCCCATGATGTGTTGCCCAATCACAGCTGTGACTGCCTAATAATTAGGTTAAGCAGTTTGATTTGGGAAAATAATATTCCTTTTATAATTGTTGATTCTCTAGGAAATACAAACCTGCTGATGTGCAGCCCATCTACCTGAAGAAAGAAACCAAGACCAAATTACGCTGAGTTAGTACAGATTTGTAGTGTGAAACTCTGCTCCAGTCTAGTAAGCTGTACCAGTGTGCCTCCTATAGGACAGTCAATCAGTCTAGCTTTGCAGGACAGCGTGGTAATTCTCACCCTTGCTCTACCGTAACCTAGAGACGATATCAAGCCCAGACTAAGCCACCAACACCATCCTCCAATTGAAGTGAGTGTTGTGAATTGGTGAGGCAGTGAAGTCCTTTCCTTGTACTGAAATGAACAGTGACTCAGGACTTTGAAAGCTCTGACACAGGCATAAAGGAATGTAATAAACGCTTGAGTCTTGAGTCCTGCAGCACATACTTGTTCATTGTTAGATTTTGTTCAAATGCGCCAATACCTATACCTTAGTGTTCAGGCTACACTGTCAGGTTCAATAGACGTATATTTCACTTTATCTGCAAGCAAACTTGAATCCTCGATCCTGATTGGTCGATCCATGGCAACAAGCCGTGCTACATATAACCATACCGCTCGGCCACGGTCCATACCGCACTCCGCGTGTTGCGCTATTCCAAGATGCGCGCGCCATTCCGTACAAACACGCATGTGTATAGGATAAGCGCTGAAGTCTGTGTACAGCGTGCATTTCATCTTTATTGTGCGTCAAGTTTGCTTGAAGATAAATTCGTTATCGCGCTCGCGCTCGTGGAACACGGAAAATGTAGTGCGTCTGTGTCTTACATACCACTCGGCCTTCGGCCTCGTGGCATGTGGGACACAGAGGCACTACATTATTCCGTGTTCCACTCGCGCTCGCAAGATAACTAATAATATACGTAAAGTTTCATTTTTTTCTGAATTCATTGAAACATGACCAATGTGATGCATACAAGAAGTTGATACCTAACTTTTCCAAAAGGTTAAAAAAGAGGATCATGAGCAACAGTTTTGATCAGAGATCATTGCTTTGCTTTTTACATCTTTTAATACAGAGTCATTTTAATACAGCTTTTAATATAGAATCACTCTCTGTATGATGGATGAGAAGCAGTATTGGTTTTCAACCTAGGATGTTGTACTTGATAGTGAATATGTTTTAAGCATGCAGCTTGCTGGGTGTAACACTGAGAGTCACGGAGGCCAATTCTACTGTCATTTATTTATCATATGCATTGTCATTATTTGTTCATTCATTGGGTGCCAAGCTGTGATGCAGGATTATCCCCTACTAAGAAAGTCTTGCAAATTTGCAAATTCAAAAGCAGATCACCAATTGCTGTCATCGTTTTTAGCCTTGGTGAAAATTTGACTGTATTTTACTTCGTGTGTCCAGTCATGAGAACTGCTTATAAATGCAGACTCATTTCCCTAAAACCTATTTGAAATACATTTTTTTCCTGTTTTTTTTCTTAATATCTCTGGAATATTTTTTTGTTCGTTAATTGTGAATTATTGCCATTGTGTGTAAAAAGCCAGCTCAGGACAAGTAATTTCAATGAACAATCTTGAGAATGATTAATTATTGTGTGTGTGATTGCTAATTAATGGACTTATTTTGTAATGCTATTTAGTTATTGATAATGAACTAATACACAGGCATTAGATATAATTTAAGTGCAGATGGAGGTCGGTTCTTTCAACTGCTTTTTTAACCTCCAATACTTAACATTTTTTCAAACAAGTGGTTGGAATTTTGATTATTCATATTATTTTATTTAAATAGGTTTGTTTAATATGATGGAGTTTTGTCATGAAAAAGCTTTGTTTCATTCAAGAATTGCTATACATGCTGAAATAAGAATTGTTATAATTGAATAGGAACTGTTGGCTAATCTAGCCAGTCTGGATTGAGGTCCAGTCATGATCATGTTTACCTGCTTAGTGATGAGTCACATCATGTCATTCATGTACTCTTGTCTCTAATGCACAATATTCATGCCATTGTATCTTATGCAGTGCTGTCATTGACTAGAATACGTTTTGATGAGTATAAGTACAAAGCTACAACCCAAGGATCATGGTACAAGTATCCCAAGGACCACATGCTGCATTCAAGTCACATGCGTTCATTGTTTTCATTGAGTGTTTATTGTTCACTGTGTTCATTTGGGGGCATGTCTGTAACTTGCGTTCACTAGTGGGGAAGAGTCCATGACTTGTAAAAATAGGTGGTAACCACCTGAAAATGAGAAGTCTGATGTGATTGGAATGCGGTATACTTCAGGACTTTCAATAGAGATGTCAATTTGTAATTTACAAGGGACTGTAATTTACAGCAAAGATCTTATAGCGCCGAAGGCGCAAGATGGGGAACTCCATAGAAATTGCGAAATCGCCATGGGCGCCATTCGAGCAAGCAAACCATTGTGCAAGCCATTGTTTGCATAATGGTTTGCTTACTCGAAGCAAACCATTGTGCAAACAATGGTTTTCACAATGGTTTGCTTACTGGAATGGCGTCCATGACGATTTCGCAATTTCTTTGGAGTTCCCCATCTTGCGCCTTCGGCGCTATAAGATCTTTGATTTACAGTCATGGTGAAAAACCGAGGTTTACATATGGGTCACTCACTGTATGATAAACATACAAACAAGGCTAGCATGACAATGTACATACAATTGTAATTATTGACAAAATGACATATTTTCCTAACTTCAATATTTAGTTATGTACAGAGGCTATTGTATAATAGGTAGGGTACACTGACAGCAGTAAAGTTATGTTGGTATAAAATGAGTGGTAGCAGCAACAAGGCAAGGTAGGTAGTAAAATGAAAGTGCAATCCACCATTTCACAGGGTACATCAATACCAAACCAAACTTGATAATTTGAAGTATTAATGCTAGAGATTTTCACTTCATTTTGCTTTTGAATTGCAGAGAGAAGTTGGCACAGAAATGTTAAAATGCAGATAGCAAATTGTTGCCTTAGATTTATAAAGGTTGTAAAAGATTTGTAATATATTTCAACACTTTCTGGACATGAGTAGTCCTTAGACATCGGTGTCTGATTTGGTAGAATTTGCCAACATGCAGCAAACCCTTTGCATAACTAGCTCACAACCCTAGTTGCTACCAAGATTTCAAAAACATGCAATCGTTGGAAAGTTATTGCTTTTCATTCTTGTCAAGTATTTAGCGCTGTGTGTTCTTTGTTTTTCTTCACAAACTTACTTGTGTAGGATTCTGAGGCTGCATTTGAGTGACTTGGCTGCACGTGTCTATGGGATGCGGATTTGGCTGTTTCCAAAGCCACATGTGATATTGTCAGTCACAGCCAAGTAATTTAGATGCAGTCTTACATTTGCCATGTCCTACAGATAAAGCTACATATAGGTCATTGGTTAGAGTTCATGAAAACTCTTATCAAATATATGTTACTAATAATAGTCCATCTGTGATGGGCAACCCCCCCCCCTCCCCAAAAATGTGTAAACAAAATATAGAAAAAAATTAATTAAAGCTAATAATTAAATTCACCCAACTGCAAGATATTTCATGCAACCTTGTTGATGCAAACCCTTTAGCCTTAGCGCAAGCAGATACTGATTGTATCTTGATTAAACATGTAGTTATAGTAAAGGGGTTCAAATTATGGCCTGAACTTCACTTCATGGTCTGTCGAAGTAGTGCTGATATATAGATGTGACAGGGGTAAGCTGGTCTTGCCTTCTGTTGTCACAGAAATATTTCTCACCAATGATATTTGTACCAATGTATATATTTTATTTTCAGTGGCTCATTGGTTCCATATAGGCCATGGGCCAAAATCTGTATCGGGTCTAGAAGTTGAGGTTCATCTTAACTTTGTGGTGTCAACTTGCAATAAGGTCAACTTTACTAATTCGATAGTGCTGCGCTAAATCTGAATCTGGTTGTTCACATTGGCCCAAATTGCACATTAACCTGATGATGACATTTTTTTCTCATTATTTTGCCCATTTTTGGTCAAAAATAGTGTTTTAAATTCAAATACTTTCAAACTTGACACAGATAAATAGGAAGTCGACATGAATAATATGTCATTATTTAATGTGCGACACACTGCTTAAATTTTTTTGTTTGTTTTTGGTGTATGAGCATGATGAGATTTCGACGTGGCGTTATTTAGTAAGGATTTATATTAAATACACGTACCTCTGTTGTCCCTTTACAACACAAATCAATCACAAGTCAATCACAAGTCACTCAGTTTCAAGTTAATAAGGGACACTATTTTTTTTTTCCATTTCTTTACCCAGAATACGTGTTTTTTGGGGCGTAAAACGGGGCTTTCTGAATCCATATCGAAAAGGCATCGCGCAGTCTTGAAAAAAAATTGTATGTGACGTGAAACGCAGGAGGTAACGCGCGAGCACATTATCAGGCGCGCAGTCTTCAAAATATGTGCGCAGTATGCTCTGAATAGCCAGTCAGCGTCGCCGTTTACATTTTCCCCACGGCCAGGTACGCAATGGCAGCGATGCATCGCCATCGCCCTCATGTGGTATAGTTACATTGGGGAAACAGTCAACTTTATTTCTAATTTGTGCAAATGATGTGGCGTGCACATCTGTAACATATAAATTAACACGTTCCAAACTGCTTATAACTGAGAAATGAAGTTGCCACTAAAAAGTTAAGACGAGATTGCACGTTGCAGGCTTTGGCCCACGGCCTAATGTCAGTTATATTCTCTACAGTTAGGTAATTGAATGGGCTTTAACTTGTCCAAACTAAACTGACTGGATGTCAAATGGTTGCATTAATGTGTAACTTATACGTAAAACTGAAGCTTTATCTCATTTTTATGTCTAAAATTGGAATATTAACCAATGTTGAAATATGTTGTCAGTCAGTACCCCTATAGAAAGGTATTATGATGTATAATGGGTTGGGAATGGGAGTGAAACTAAAAATCTATAACATTGGATTTTCTTTGGCCTGAGATTTTGTAAATATATTATTTATTGTATGCATGGCCAGCAAGCTCATAATTTGAGTTATTTATCTAGAGTAGCCTAGAGCATTTGGCACAAGGTGCTATGTTATATGTTGATGTGCCACTAGTTAATGTATAACACTCAGACTTGATTGGAGACTATCTGCTCTGTGTATGCCCTTACCAGAGCAAGGCTTCTCATAAGATGAATTTTTTTTTCATAAGATGATTTTTTTTTCAAAGGCTTCATGCTTGTTTACAGATAAGAAAACACTGCAGCTTGTCTGTCACTCTGAAAATCTACAACTTTGCTTCAATAGCAGTGATATCCAAATGTTCCAAGTAGCTCATTGACTTCTGTAGTGGAGGAGGGAAAATAGCTACATGTAGATCATGTGTACTAACAACTAGTCATGCTCAAGTTTCTTGATATTTGCTCAGACTATGCACATATTGAAAACTTTTCAAGATGTTTTTATTCTACTGAAAGAAACCAACCTATGTAGTGTTTTTCTGTTGTGGAATATGCAGAAATCAAGTATTAGTATTGTCATTATATTGTATGTGTGAAAAGAGTTGAAATCTCATGTACATTTGAGGATTGTGATACTGAAGATGATGATGATGCATTGCGAATCAGCTGTGAACAGTGAACAGCTGGAAGATAGTGACAATGGATATATTAACATTAAAACAAAAAGGACCATTGTGTAAAACAAATGTTGTGAATGTAGTAATGACGATGGTGACATTGGTGATGGAATTAATGAATAGCTGCTTATGTTATTAAAGAAAAAAATTTAAA